CCGCTTCTTTTTCCCCCCTTCCTTTCCCCTTTCCCCCTCCCCCGGGCTGGGATGGGGCTCAGAGCTGCCATCCCCGCTGGAAACGCTCCAGCCGGAGCCGTCCTTCATCGCCCGCTGCGAGAGCGAGCCCTGACTCATCCTCGCACCCCGGGGGGTGTTTGTACCCGCGGATAAAGTGCCCCCCCCTCCCCGATCCTTTTCTCCTCCAGCCCTGCCAGCCCCCTCTCCCCTCCCGCGGTGTTAGTCCCAGCGCTCTGCTCCCCCCACGGACCCTCAGGGGTGTCCTTGGGAGCTGGGGGGCAGAGAAGGGTCCTGTCCCCCCCCAGGAGCCAGGGCTTCCCCCTCCCGTGGGTCAGGACTGGGCCCTTCCCTTCTTCCAGCCCCTCTGGGTCCTTCCCGGTGGCACACGAGGGTCCGGTGTGTCCCCTCCTCCCGGCTCCTCCTCTCCCCGGGCACTAACGAGGGCACTAATGAGGGCACTGAAGGGCTCTGGCTCCCGTCGGGCACTAACGAGGGCACTAACGAGGGCAGTGAGTGCGGGCTGGCCCCGCTGGGCTCGGTGCCTCTCCTGGCAGCCGTGGCTGTGGTTGAGGCTGCCCGGTGGCCGCCTGCCCGATCCCCGCTGCCTCCTCCCGCCCGCGGGGAGCCGGGGCCACCCGAGGCCACCCGAGGCCACCGCCGGCTCCTGCCGGGCCCTTCCTGCCCCCATCCCCCCTTGGGGCTCCCCCCTCGGGGCGGGCGGGGGGACGCGGGGTCCCCTCTCTCAGCCCTTTCCCTGGCGGTTGGGCGCGTTGGAGAGGTCCAGCCTCGGCCACCCCAGGTGGGGACAGCCTGGGCCACCAGGGCCTTCCCCTGGCAACGGGACAGTCAGAGACTGGGTGTTTCCAGAAAAGTGCCGCTTTGTCCCCAAACCGGTACTGGGGGGAGGGGCAGGGACAGCCCTGCTCCCACGCCTGTGGTTGCCCAGGGCTTGTGTCTGGTTGCCCAGGGCCACTGTTTGGTTGCCTAGTGTCTGTGTTTGGTTGAGCCCTTTGGGTTGCCCAGGGCCTGTCTCTGGTTGCCCAGGGGCACTGTTTGGTTGCCCCAGACCCGTGGTTGGTTGAGTCCTTTTGGTTGCCTGGAGCCTCCTTTTCTCTGCAAACTGGGGTGAAAATGGTGTGTTGGGGAGGAACTGCCCTGGGCCCACTCTCGTGGCCCTTTCTCCTGGGGGGTGCTGCCCCCCACCAGTGGGCAGCAGAGGCGGGGCATCCCCCTGCCCTGGCTCTGGGACGTGGGGCTGGGGCTCCTCAGCTCCTCCTGAGCCTCAGAAGGAGCAGGCACTGTCCCCCCTCCCCTCAGAGCGGGGTCCCCCCACCATGGCGGGGCTGGTTGGGCAGTTGTGGGGGGGGATGGTGGTTGGTGATGGTGGTGGTATTTGATGATGGTGGTGGTTGGTGATGGTGTTTGGTGATGATGGTGGGTGGTGATGGTGATGATGGTGTTGATGATGCTGGTGGTGATAGTGGTGACTGGTGGAGGTGGTGATGATGATGGTGGTGATGGTGACAGTGCTAATGGTGGTGAGGATGATAATGGTGATGGTGGTCACTGGTGCTGAGGGGATGGTGGTGGTGAGGGGGGTGGTGAGGATGATAATGGTGATGATGGTCAGTGAGGGGATGGTGGTGGTGAGGGGGTGGTGGGGCGGCTCTGACGGTCTCCCCCCCTTTCAGCTGCCCTACACGGAGCTGGAGAAGGTGAGTGGCATCGAGGAGGCCAAGCACTACCTGCGGCAGAAGC